GAAAACTTGGATTTTCTCAATGAAGAAATGGTTTCAAGGAGTTGAACAGCCTCGTATAGTCCATTGGTTTATTCGGGTGGTTTCAATACAGTACGAAGCTGAACAATCTCTTGTATTTAATTACACATTTTTCAATAAAATAATATTACACTCAAATCCAAAATACATTGGTGGCTCAAACATTAAGCTCATGTTTGAGTTACATTAAAACTTTCATTATCATTCTTCTACTCATTTTCAATCACACATTCTTCAATAAAATAATATTTTTTCATCACATCAATAAGTTTTTCTTCTTCTTCAACCACATATTCTCCATCAATCTACTATTCCAAAATATATTCTTTCAAAATAATATGACTCAAGAAAGTATTATTCGAAATTGATATATATCTTCAAATATTAGTTACTTTTAATTTGTAAATATCCGGAAATCTTCAAATCGAGAAATATTTTGTAATCTTGTGCATTTAAGAAAAACTTCTACCACTATCATAGTATGTAGTAAATAATGGAGATAACACTATTAATTGGGACCCACACATAAATGCATGTCAAGTAAATAGTAACAAAAACACTAGGTTTCATACTTCGAGAGTATTAAAAACTTTCTTCTGCTAATGGATTAATACATCCATTCTGTAATTATAATGTCGATATAAAGATGCAACAAGGCCAATCGGTCACAAAGAATGGTCACTAAAAACAAATTTCTATCAACACTTCGATGAAGCAGGGACAAAATATAAAGTAGGCTGCAATTTTCGTGCAATTTTTTTGAGAGAACGTAATTAAAAATAAATTTTTAAATAATGAGACTCGAAAATGGCTAATGCAGGGACAAAATATAAAGTAGGCTGCAAATGACAACTGTAGGCAAAAAATTACACTGGCAAAAGCGTGTTGTGCTCAGACTATACTTTGAAAGAATATTCAATTGCTAGTGATTTTGGCCGGCACGAGTATAAATGGCCAACTAATATGTACGTGGACTACTTTTCTCGGTCGACATGCACTTGAATTTCAAATTCAATATTAATTTTTTCTTTAATTAAATTCACATGTCGTGGCATTTTTATTAATTATGAAAAAAAAAAATGCGAACTTAAGAGGAGATCAGGCACGACCTTCAATTAAAGAAAGAAGAAGAAAATAGGATACCTTGTCCGGCGATGGAAATGCCAATATCAAAGCAAAAGAAATGCATTTCATGTAACTTGGCCATACTACTCATGAGCATAAGTCGATTTCATTATTTCTCTAGTTACTTTCAGACTCGCTATTTAAAGAAGATTAGTAAATTTATTTTAATATTTCAAGTTCGGGAAGCACGTAGCTTCCTCACAATCAAAAGCGTCTCTGGTAACGTTCTATCAAATCTTTGTGCACTTGCCCCAACAATGCCATAAAACTACATTCCACGAGCCGCTCAGGTGCACTAAGAACTAAAACTTCTTTATTTTTGCTTAGATTCCTATTACTAGCTGGCATTTGATTGATCGTCGGACTCTTCAATCGATCAACGAACTTTAAAATTGTATAGGTTAAATTCTCTTTATTACTAATTAAATAAAGTTTGTAATTCATAATTTTTAGAGTTCATTTACTTTTTTTATTACTTCACTACTAAGGACTTGGTATTTTGATTATTAACTTCACTCTTTTTCTCCAATTGTAAATTAATCCCCTATTTCCTATAGCTAAAAATTAGATTTTGAAAAAAAGAATTTGATTAAATATATAATTAAAATTAATTGTTGATTTTAACTTAAATTTTTATCAATTTTTTAGATTTTTTAAAAAAGAATTTGATTAAATATATAATTAAAATTAATTGTTGATTTTTTAGCCGCACCAAATGTGGGCTAAATATTTAGCGCATAATAATGACTCGACAATAAATTATATTTTTTTTTATTAAAGTTCCGGTCGACTCATTCTATACTATACCTACCATCTCATTTAATCTCATTTCATGTGACTAGCTGACTCGATAAAAGTCATAATTTTGACTATGACAAAAGCATATCAAGAATTGAGAAAGATTAGGAAATTTTATTCACTTGTCAAATGTGAAACTAATTAATTAAGTTCTTAGACTTTTTGAAAAGTGGAAGCGGGACTGATTACAAAAGTTCCTACCTACCATGATAGTGAGAAGAATTCTGATTTTTTTAGCCCACTGATTAGACTTTTCCTAAGTTGGGAATTAACTAAGGGTTCGTTTGATTGCAAGAATGAAATTTGGGTGGAAAGAAAATGAATTTCAGGGAATTGAATTGTCTAAAATTTGTTTTACTGGAAATTGTCAATTAATTGTGTTTGATTGGTATAATTTTTCACTTGAAAAATATTGAAATTTTGAATTTTTTTGTGTTCGTTTGACTTTATTTTTCATAGAAATTGTCCATTAAAAAGATATAATTTATTACAATTGGAGATATAATTTGTTACTATACTATACCTACCATCTCATTTGATCTCATTTCATGTGACTAGCTGACTCGATAAAAGTCGTAACTTTGATATGACAAAAGCATATCAAGAATTGAGAAAGATTAGGAAATTTTATTCACTTGTCAAATGTGAAACTAATTAATTAAGTTCTTGGACTTTTTGAAAAGTGGAAGCAGGACTGATTACAAAAGTTCCTACCTACCATGATAGTGAGAAGAATTCTGATTTTTTTAGCCCACTGATTAGACTTTTCCTAAGTTGGGAATTAACTAAGGGTACGTTTGATTGCAAGAATGAAATTTGGGTGGAAAGAAAATGAATTTTAGGGAATTGAATTGTCTAAAATTTGTTTTATTGGGAATTGTCAATTAATTGTGTTTGATTGTTATAATTTTCCACCTGGAAAATATTGAAATTTTGGATTTTTTGGTGTTCGTTTGACTTTATTTTTCATAGAAATTGTCCATTAAAGAGATATAATTTGTTACAATTGGAGATATAATTTGTTTCCATAATAATAATAATAATAAAGTTGCATAGAAAGCTTTTCCCACCGAAGTGGTGGGAAAAGTTTTTTCTCAAAAATCAAGAAAATGTGAGTATATGGGTGAAACATGGAAAACCAATTCCATGAAAAAATTGGGCAATCAAACATGTAAAAATGTGGAAAATTGAATTTAATTTCCCTCTTCCATGGAATTGAAGTGCAATCAAACATGGCCTAAATGAATTGTTTTAAATGTAATCATTTTCTTATTATAATAACCAACATTTTTACTTGTACGTAAGAAAGTAACCTAATTTGGGGAAAAAATTGCTTGAAAAATAAAATTGACTTTTATATTTAGCCAAAAATATACTCTAGCATTCAATCCAAAATACCTATTATATGAAATTCAAAGATTCCAATACAAATTGGTAGCTTAGCTATTTCCACAAAATTAACGCACAAATAAGACCTACCTAAAAGGTCCCTCAAAGTCATCGAATCATGTTACAATAATATAATGATTGACATAAAACCATATGATATTATATTATTAAACTGTTTAAAACACAGTTAATATTTTCATCCAATCATATCTTGTCAACATTCATACTGTCAAAACATCTGTATATTTTTATTTAATTTTTTCATTTAATTTTTTTTTATGTTCTTTCAAAAGGCCTTAAATATTTTACCTATGGCCCCTAAATTAATTGATTGGTATCTGATTATAAGTTTATTTTTAACCTTTATCTAATTATGAAAATCTTTGGGTCAATTCTTTTATAAAAATAAATTCGACGTAAATGTGATAGGATAGTTTAACCTTCATAGTCTTAATCATGGTTAAGAAAAGTCCATTTTGACAAAATAGGCATAATATTTCCATTAATTATATGGTCCCAAATGAGTGGTAAAATAATCGTGGAAATGGATGCATAAATCCCCATGAGTTGGTGGTCTTGTTGCGTTTCTAATTGCACTACTTTGATAATTGTACAAGTACATTAATGACTGGGGCCACCCTCTACCCCACCAAAATTAAAGAAGTTAAAACAAAAAAAAATGTCAAATTGATTTGGCAAATAAGAGTAATGGGCAATGTGTACCAACCCGACACGGTAATCAATTGCGTGAATCAGATTGTTCCTCTTGACTATATTGTGCACAAAATACGTACACAATGCGGTTTGATATCCATGCACGCATCCTCTAGTAGTTGCATATACGAAACCAACAAGTAGACTGTCGATCTTAAAACTACGTGTAGAAAATTCGAAATCAGAAGATTTTACCGAGGGACGAGCATATCGATCTATCCATTAAAAGATGAGATGAAGGAGCAGAAGGGATTGCATGACAGGAGGGAAAAACTTTCATGCTTACCATCAAATTTCCATATTGACAAAAGAAATAAAATGGATTTCTAAAGTTTGAAGATTTTTATACTGAACTTCTTGGAAGGATATTTACGAGTGAGTACATTTTAAAATGTGATCATACAGTGTGTTGAATAATTCAATATGCAACTACTGAGAAAATTTCAATGATTTGGAAATATGGTTTCACACATGATGAACATAAGAATGGACTTTTTAACTGTACACAAAATTTTGGTATCAATCATGTTTGGGACACACTTCCGTTAACATCAAATTTGACAAGTTAAACATGATGTGGCAAACGACTATTAAAAAAAATAAAATTCCTTCAACATTTTTTTTAAAACAAAGCCAATGTTAAACATGATGTGTGTGTGTGTATATATATGATGTAACATTAGGACTTTGTGTGTGGGGGGTAAATCAACTCATATAATTCAAAGCTAGCAAGAATTGACCTAGATATTAATATTTCTTCCACTCCCACTCCCACATCCACATCCACCCCCACCTCACCTACATTTCTTTGGGAGCCCAAAATTTTCCAAAGTGGAGTATTTTTCCACTTTTTCACAATGTTTACATGCCTATATATATATGCCTAACTTCAATACCAAACTACACTTGAAACTCATTGAAAGAGCCTTTGGCAACTTTGGCTAAGGCAACTAGACATGGAGGTCTTCTATGTCTCTCTTCTTTCTCTCTTTGTCCTCTTGATATCCCTCTCCCTCCACCTCCTCTTCTACAAGAACAAGTCCGGCTTCTCCAGCACCTTACCGCCGGGCAAGACAGGGTGGCCAGTGATCGGAGAAAGCCTAGAATTCCTCTCCACTGGGTGGAAGGGTCACCCTGAAAAATTCATATTCGACCGTATAGCCAAGTACTCATCCTATGTCTTTAGGACTCATCTTCTTGGAGAACAGGCCGCTGTTTTCTGTGGTGCAAATGGAAACAAATTCTTGTTTTCAAATGAAAACAAGCTTGTCCAAGCATGGTGGCCTGATTCTGTTAACAAAGTATTCCCTTCTTCTACTCAAACTTCATCAAAAGAAGAGGCCATCAAAATGAGAAGAATGCTTCCAACTTTCTTCAAACCGGAAGCCTTGCAACGATACGTCGGCATAATGGATCATATTGCACAAAGACACTTTTCTGATGGCTGGGATAACAAGAAAGAAGTAGTTGTTTTCCCTCTTGCAAAGAGATACACTTTCTGGCTTGCTTGTCGTTTGTTCGTAAGCGTCGAAGATCCAAACCATGTTGCCAAATTTGCCGATCCTTTCAATGATTTAGCTTCTGGTTTGATTTCAATCCCTATAGATTTGCCTGGAACACCATTTCACAGGGCGATCAAAGCCTCAAACTTCATCAGAAAAGAACTCGTTTCGATAATCAAACAGCGTAAAATCGACTTGGCTGAAGGAAAAGCATCGCCAACACAAGATATCTTGTCACACATGCTTTTGACAAGTGATGAAAGCGGGAAATTCATGCATGAATTGGATATTGCTGATAAGATTTTAGGTTTGCTTGTTGGAGGCCATGACACTGCAAGCTCTGCATGCACTTTTGTAGTCAAATATCTTGCTGAACTGCCTGAAATCTATGAAGGAGTCTACAAGGGTAAGCCCTTTATACTTTCTGCTGATTTTTTTTTTTTTCCTTTGATAGTAGAAGTTCTACGTCACTTTAAAAAAAAAAAAAAAATCTGAAGAGTTACTCTAATAATTAAGTCAATAAAAACTTTAAAAGTGCAAAGAGTAATAGATTTGATTCATTTGAATGATGCATGGAGAATAACGGACTTATGCATTAGGGAACAAGCTCCACTAAGTGATCCTTGAATTAAGTCACATGCTATTGTAACATGGTGACTATTTTTCTCCTATCTGATAGTTTAATTAAATATCATTATTAAAATTTCTTGAATAGGAGACGATCATAGTAATATCTTTTATTGCTTTAGATATAGAGATTAGGGTTTATTACGCTAGTTTCAAGACTCAGCAAAAAGGGTAAAGAACTCTTGTGAAATACTATATTCAAGTCAGTAAAGATAATTGCAATTTGTGCTACAAAATTTAAAAACTATGTTGTTTTTTCATATACTATGATTTAATTTCAATTTGTCTGTTTTGTGAACAGAGCAAATGGAAATAGCCAAAGCAAAAGCCCCTGGGGAATTACTGAACTGGGATGACATTCAAAAAATGAAATACTCATGGAATGTGGCATGTGAAGTATTAAGACTTGCCCCTCCCCTCCAAGGAGCCTTCAGAGAAGCCATTGCTGATTTTATGTACAGCGGCTTCTCAATCCCGAAGGGATGGAAGGTAAAACAAATAACACAAATAATAAAATGTTGTTTCGTTCGAGCTTAGTATGTATGTACTAATCCCCCCTCGTTTTAATAACTACGCAGATATACTGGAGTGCAAATTCGACTCACAGGAATCCCGAACTCTTCCCCGAGCCACTGAAATTCGATCCTTCAAGATTCGAAGGAACTGGACCGGCTCCTTACACATTTGTTCCATTTGGTGGAGGACCTAGGATGTGCCCTGGAAAAGAGTATGCTCGACTCGAAATTCTTGTTTTCATGCACCATCTTGTGAAAAGGTTCAAATGTGAGAAATTGATTCCAGATGAGAAGATTGTTGTTAATCCAATGCCAATTCCTGCTAAGGGTCTTCCTGTTCGTCTCTATCCCCATAATGCTATATAATCGAATTATCTCTTTTGTAAAGTTATCTAGCTTTATTTATATAAGCACGTACAATGTTAATTTGTGCTTTAACTTTGTACGATGTTCCTTGTTCAATCTTATGTTTTACTATTGAGTTTCAATCAGCAATTGAATGCATTATTGTAATGAATAATGACAAGACTCGAACTGTTCCAGCTTTAGCCCCTGTTTGTTTCACATTATTTCAACAAGAAAATTAATTTTTTGACCCTTTTTTTACAAAAAAGTGGAGCCCATTGTGACACAAAACGGTTCACTGCTGCGGCTAATTCACTGTAGCAACGCTAAAAATTCTGCTTAATAGAGGAAACAAACATGGGCTTAATATATAAATAATTGAACCATATTGTCAATACTCAAATAGTTTAATCAGAATCGACTCAAGGAGCAAAAATAATTAAATTTAAAATATGTTAATTTAATTGTATAAGTCCAAATGCAATACCTAGAGCTTGTTTGTTTGGAATTCTCAAATTATACAGTAAGTCAATTCTCATTTTCAACCACACATTCTTCAATAAAATAATATTTTCCATCACATCAATAATTTTTTCTTCTTTTTCAACCATCCATTTCCTATCATATTACTATTCAAAATCAATTCTTCCCCCCAAAATCCCTCCCAAACAA